ACTCGTGGCGGCCCGGCCGGCGGTAACAATAACAACAGTAATGGTGGTGGCCGTGGCGGCGGAGGCGGCAGTGGCGGTAACAATAACAATAATGGTGGTGGAAACAAGAAGGCAGAGGAGTTGCAGCCATACCCAGTAAAAGAGCAGCTGCCTGGTGTTCAGTATTGTGTTAACAGTCCTCCTCCATGGCGTTAGTATACCATTCTCTCTGATTATTATACTCTTAATCATAATCTTAACTAGGTTTTTATTTATTTATTTATTTATAAAATTTGTTTTATTTCAATAGGCAAGTTCTTTAAATTTTAATCTTCAAGGTATGCAAATTTAAAACTTTCATGGTTTTGCAGCTGAAGCTGTGATGTTGGGTTTCCAGCATTACCTTTTGACTCTTGGTATTACAATCTTCATTCCAAGTCTGCTTGTTCCTCAAATGGGTGGAGGCGATGTAAGGATTTAATTGCTAATTTTTCACAACTCTATTTTTTTATTTTTTTATTTATTGGGTTCTGCTTTGTTGATATTTCCATTAATTAGATTTATTAATTGGTTCAGCCTTTTCTCTCTACAGATTGAGAAGGCTAGGGTGGTGCAAACCATGCTCTTTGTTTCAGGGTTGAACACATTCATGCAATCTCTGTTCGGAACCCGGCTTCCCTCAGTGGTGGTGGGTTCATATACATATGTAATCCCCACAACTTCAATAATCCTAGCCAGTAGATATAAGGCAACCACAGATCCTCATGAGGTTAGGCTTTAACTTAATTTTTTCTTTTGTTGATTGAAATATTAATATCCTATCTCTCTTCCTTGATTTGATCTTTTGAATGAATCTTCTTACAGAAATTTTCGGAGACTATGCGAGGTATACAAGGCGCTCTAATCATCACTGCCAGTTTTCAGATGATTATGGGTTTCCTAGGCTTGTGGAGAATTGCTGTCAGGTTAGTCATTTTGATCAGAAGAGTTGGACTTTTGGATGGATGCAAGTCATTTATAAACTTCTCAAATTAGTGCTAGAGATGTTTGATACTTTGTGAATTGTGACATAAGTTTCTTTATGTACTGGTTTAGGTTTCTTAGCCCTCTTTCTGTTGTCCCATTCATAACTTTTGCTGGACTTGGGCTTTCTCAGCTTGGTTTCCCTTTGGTAAAGATCTCTTGATCCTCCATTCTTAATTGGCTCCTATTTAATGTTGATTTGTTTTGAAGTCTTATCAGTATCCAACTCTGTTTTTTTCCCCTCCAAATTCTTTTCTCTTTCTAGTTGGCCAGATGTGTTGAACTTGGGCTTCCAGAGTTGATCATCGTGGTTTTCGTCTCACAGGCAAGTCCTCAATTGGTTACTATTGATTTTAACAGTCCTTTTTCCTTGAGTGTTTTTTCGTGGCACCAAGTAATATTCTAGATACTTGAATGTTTTGCAGTATCTTTCTCGTTTTATACATACAAAGAGGCAAATCTGTGGCAGATTTTCAGTGTTGTTCTCTGTTGCAATTGTATGGTTGTTCGCACAAATTCTAACCTCAAGTGGTGTGTATAACAACACACCAGAAAACACTCAGATCAGTTGCCGCACCGATCGTTCTGGCCTTATTAGTGCAGCTCCCTGGTGAGCTTTTGTGTGCAAACTGCAATTATCAACGTGAAATTCCTTTCGTTTCATGAGTACTTTGAAAACAGTGGATCTTTTTGTCCCCTTGTTTTGTCTTGAATATGCAGGATATATATTCCATATCCTTTTCAATGGGGGAGCCCTACTTTTAATGCAGGAGAAGCTTTTGCAATGATTGCTGCTTCTTTTGTTTCTCTCTTCGAGGTTCACATCTCTTTTCTCCCAAGTTTCTTAGAAAAGCTTACAATTTTACAAAGAATTTGATAACAACATTGAATTTGGCATGCAATTGCAGCTTATTTTCTATATAATGTTTAGTAAAATGCAATCAAAACCTGTAAATATTTGCAGTCCTCTGGTACATTTTATGCTACAGCAAGATATGGGAGTGCCACACCCGTACCACCTTCTGTCATTAGCCGCGGCGTTGGCTGGCTGGTAATTTTCCGTCAGAATTGTGACTCTTGTTGATTCTATTGGCATTTTTGCTCCATCGTCAAATTTTGACTTTTCTTTCTTCATCTTTATTATTTTGAATTTCAGGGTGTAGGAGTGTTACTAAATGGGATGTTTGGTTCTCCAACTGGCACTACTGCGTCAGTGTAATGAACTCAAACCTAATGTCTCCGTCTGTTTGTGGGACAAAAAAAAATCAATAAAATTTACCTTGCAGACTATGTATTTATACATGTTGTAAAATGCTGATTTGATCTTCTAATTGCTCACTTCAAATATGCTGCATAGGGAAAATGCTGGCCTATTGGCATTGACAAGAGTTGGAAGTCGTAGAGTTATCCAAATATCAGCCTTTTTCATGATTTTCTTCTCTGTATTTGGTATGCTGCAAAACTTTTCAATACATTTGCACATTAATTTAACACTTGATATATACTCTAAATGGTTTCTCATGGTGTTCTTGACCAGGAAAAATCGGAGCACTTTTCGCTTCAATTCCTGTACCAATCATAGCAGCTCTTTACTGTGTCTTATTTGGCTATGTTGGTACGTCTCTCTAAAATTTGATTGGAATTTTTTATACTGTCAAGCAACAAAAACAAGAAACATGTTTCTAATGCTTTATAACTAACAGTGGTTTTATATGATGTCCCTTGCAGCTTCTGCAGGCCTTGGTTTTCTCCAATTTTGTAACCTGAACAGTTTCAGAACAAAATTTATATTGGGATTCTCTTTCTTCATGGGAGTTTCAGTACCACAATACTTCAGAGAATATAGGTCTGGCCATGATCACGGTGGTCCAAGATGGGTGAGATTTTTTAACCAAGTGTCCATAAATTTTATTTTAGTCTTAGCTACAAGCTCCACAATTGGCCTTAACTTTTTTCGTTCAATTACTTTCAGTTCGAGGACATAGTAAATGTCATCTTCATGTCACACACAACAGTAGCTGCTTTGGTTGCTGTAATATTGGATAACTCTCTGTCTCGTGAAAACGATGCAACGAGAAAAGACAGCGGTTTAAACTGGTGGGAGAAGTTCAGCTTATACCCTTCTGATGTTAGAAATGATGAATTCTACGCACTGCCGTGCAGATTGGACAAGTTTTTCCCAGCCCTTTGAATCTCCAAAACCACGGCTTGAAACAAAAGCAAAATGGAAAAGCACTGAAACATCTGCTTAGTTTTGTAATCAAATTTAAAACTTTATTATTTAGTTTGTTAAGCAGTTTTGATACTATTAATTCAACTGTCATTAAGCAGAACTCTGCCTTGCAGTCACTAGTTTTTTCATGTCTTGGTTGTAGCAGGAGCTTATGCAATTGAGAATTTGACATGCAATCTTGCTGAGCTGGTCTGTCTCAGGTGGCAGGACTTGGCAAGTTGCAAAGGTTATCAGGATCGATACTTGAGGGACAATTAATGTCAGGTCGATGGGTAGGTCATTTCTAGGCCTTTTTGTGTTGGTGTTTTTGGCTTTTTATTGGTTTTTTAAGTAGATGCGAAAATCTAAATTAATTTAATTTATAAAGAGGATTTTCGAACTTTGATATAAGGGGGCGGACTTAATCTACGTATACTTTTCATATTAGTTCAAAAGTTGAATCTTTATCAAAACTAAATCGAGGTCTAGTTTTCTCATATGATATTCATATCTTTCATAAAAGCACTTGACACTAGGAACAAAATTGTATGCTAAATTCTTATCCAAAACTAAATCATTCAACGAATTATTGGATTTGTGGTTGAATAATTTAAGACACCCAATCGTGAATTTTAGTCATTGAGGAAGAAGAAATTTTTTAACCTTTGTTTCACGAAAAGTACCAACCACTCGGGTAAAAGCACAAGGCTAAAACTTGGATCGGTGTCTAGCTGTTATCCACATAACACATGATTGTGCAATTTGGGTGACAGTTCTTAGAGCACGTGGCTAATCAAACGAATGACAAACCAAATCTCTGATATGAAGCAGAAAAAACACAAAGCAGAGCAAATGGCTCACAGCATGCAGAGATAAAAAGTTAAGAAAAGGGGTTTTGTCAGCAGATCAAAACCGTCTGATAGGTATTCCATACATGCAAATATATAGTGCATATATGTAAGGAATTAGTAGTTCAAGTAGTTATGAATATTTATTCATGCATTCAAGATCTTACGTTATTTCCTCGTTCTTCAATATCACTTGTAAAATATATACATACATATACCACTAGGATGAGATGGTTTTGTTTTGATGACACGCAAAGGCCCAAGGGGTTTGTTTGGAACCTGCAATCAGTTGTGTCCTCTGTCCCCACTGGTGGCCAAAGACAAGTTCATGGTCCCTCAAACATGGTTTTTGTTTTCTTGAAACTATTCGCATAAACTGCTCAGAGCTCATGTGGATACGTGAGATGTGACATATATTTTTGGTCACAAGCTACACACATTTGCAAATGTGAACCAGCAATTAAAAGGAGAACATTCATGATCATTAGTGAAGCCAAATTAAATTAGTGGAACCCATATATCTAATTGGTTTTGGTCAAAAAGGGCGGAGAAGGGATGGGCGGTTTTGTTACCATTCTCAGTTTTTCTTGAGAAGACAAAACTCAAGAGGGAGGGGGGATTTGACTTTCATTTTTATGATGCAGACTTGTGTGATGTTGTGTTTTTAGGCCATGAAAGTGAAAGAAAGTGAAGTTTTCTTTTTAGAGGGAAGAAGAAGAGTTTCTGGAAGTGTTTGAATTGTGAGAAAGAGATATATATGTATAGGCCGGTTGCCCGATATTTATAAAATCAGAGAGTGGCCTATAGCTAGCAACTGGCAACTGGCATTGTTTGACCTTTTCATCCATTGTAGGGGACCATGTTAATTGGCAACCTCAAGCTTGCAGGGAAACAGAGCCCATACCTTACTATTTGCATGGTGCTCAATGAGCCAACAAAAGTAAACATGGTAATCTTCTTTTTCTTTTTTCTGGGTCAAAGTTTGAAAATTGGAAGGAGAAGGGGAGATGCCAATGGGATTCGAACATGAGACCACTAATATGCAGATAAATGCACTTAACTATGATACCCGTTGACAAACATGGGTTAATCCAATCAAGTCTAGTTGGCAAGAAGAAAATCAAAGTTACTGTCTCATCAATCTTGTTCACCTAGCATAAGTGCATGGAAATTTTTTGAGGAGGAAAAGGAATTGGACCCTATAAAACAGAGCAAAAACGCCAAAAGTCCACTTGGTGTATGTGTACATTTGAGTTGTGGTACATAAATTGTGGATGAGAAACTAGCTGAGGTCCACAAGCAATAAAAAGAGGCATGTGCTCATCAAAGTTACAGAATTTTGCCACTGGTGTTAGTGAGACAAAGATACACACATCAGCCCCCGTGATCCTTCTAAAGTGTCACAAATCATAATCATTGATTGCCACTGGCTTTAATTTCCCATGATCGAAGGGTCTCAATTTTCCAAATTTGCCAACCCTTATCTTTCTTTCTTTTTTCATGTAAAATCCCACATATTGTGTTTAATTCAAAACTCACATTTCCCATGTGAAAATATATAGCAGAAGGCAATTTTTACAGCAGAAGAAACAGACATTCACAAAATGATGATCTCAACTGAGGTTTATGCCAGGGTGGGAAATGGAAGATTCAGTACAAGTAGTGACATATAATTGATTTTCTGTTGTGGTCTGACATTATTTTTCAGCTCCATTATACATAGAAAAAAGGGTTTTGTCGCCAAGCAAATTTAGCATATATTCAATTTTAGGTTTTTTTTTATTATATATTTTTTATTTTTAAAGTCATGAAGAATTATTGTGAAGCATCTATGTGTCTAACTCAATGTAGACGTCTTTGAAGACTAAGGTCTCCAAAAGAAATGTGGTCAAGAACCAAAAGAGTTGAGGATATGTTTATATAAAGAAGACTGTTGACTGATTTAAGAGACTTCCAA